ATATTTACATTTCTTTAAAAATGAATCAAACGAAGTGACCTCCTAACACTTCCTGGGCACTTAGTCCAGCTCCTGAGTACTCCATATGCTCTCCCTCATTCATCCTCACACCTACCTCTGGAACCAGCTCGGTGTTTATTCCCCCACTTTCTGGATGTGAGAGCTGAAGTTTCACAAAATTATTTAATCTGTTCAGGGCCACAAAGCTCTTAAGTGACAGTCATGATTTGATTTTCTCACTTTTAACCACGGGATTAAACTGCTTCCTTGAAAAGCTTTGAAAATCATTTCATTTTCAAAGGCCCAATATTTGGTTCAAGGAGCTCTGGTAGCATAGTGGTTACGAATCGGGCTGCGAACCTGAAGGTCAGCAGTTCGAAACTACCAGCAGCTCCGTGGGAGAAAGATGAGGCTTTCTACTCCCATAAAGATTTACACCCTCGGAAACCTTGTACAGGGTCGCTATGGGTTGGAACCAACTCAACGGCACTTAACAACAACAACAATATTTGGTTTGGAGTGAGGTGGCGCCATACGATAAGCACCAGATTACGAATCACAAGGTCTGTGGTTTGAGTTTGCCAGCTGCTGCTCAGGAGAAAGATGAGTCTTTCTGCTCCTGAGATGATTTAAAGCCTCATACACCCGCTACAGGGTTGCTAACAACACCCAGGCACCAGGAAATCATGGGTATGATCTAGGGGTTCTACTGCTCTGGTTGAAACAACAGGTATCTGATATCACCTGAGTTGCTAGGGGCAAGGACACATCCTGGTTAACATTCTAGATAGGACATCTCCCACCTTTCTGGCATTACCTGCAGGTAGCTGCTCACCAAACTGCTCATGCTGGAGCTTCGGCTGGGAGGCTTCCACATGTAAGCAGAAGAGCCGGTGGCCAGGGTCCTCCTATAGGGCCACAAAACAGGTATGCTTATTACCCAGAGCAAAAAATCACTCACTCCCTCACTAGCGTGCGCATTCACTCACTCACGCACGCACTCACGCACATAAACATGCATACACAACCCCCACTTCCAGGGAGGCGTTCATAGTCCCTAGGCAGCTATCCCAGATAGTGGATAAGAAGGCAAAACTCAGCAGTTTCCATTAAATGTACATGGGTCTGTGACAGATGGATTCTCCTGCTAAATCCAACCCTAATAGCTAGCTTTCTTCTCACTGCCAAAAAAGTTTAAGAACATATATTTCCTAATTTTAGGTTTAAATTTTCCTTAATTTTTAGCACTTGCCATCTTCTGTCTGCTACTGAGGAACAAGTAGCAATCGGGTTATTTTTAAAGCATCATGATGCACTAAAGGGCTCACAGTTGCTGGTGTGAATGGTACATCTATCTGCAATGTGGCTAGAAGACCTATTTCTACAGTGTAGATGCAGGCATTTCTCAGACTCCAGGGAAAGTTCTACTGGATGGTACTAGTCTAAAATGCCAAGTCTTGGCGATACTTTCATCTAGCAGGAACATTTTAAACTGAACATGGTTTTACTTCACCAAAATCTTCTCCTTAGATCAAAGTGATTGCACAACCCAGCAACTGCACTTCTCAGTATCTGCTTGAAAGACAGCCACACCTGGGCTATAGTTCGGGTACAGTGGATGCTCTCTGTACGATTGGTATGGTGGAAAAAGTGGAACCGGCCTAATTCTTTATCACTAGGGACACAGATACACTGGTTTCTTTGCACAACAGAATACTCTACATCATGGGTTGGCAATGTTTTGTAAAGGTCCTGCTAGTAAATATTTTAGGCTTGTGGATCATAGCATGGGACTACTCAAGTCTACCACTGTAGCATGAAAAGTGGCCATAGACAATATTGAAGCAAATGGGCAAAGCTGGTCTCCAATTAAACTTTATTTACAAAACCAAATGATTGCCTTATGGGCTTTAGTTTGCCAACCCTGCTCAATAACTATAGAACTCCATGTGCGAACATAATTAAAAATCTCAAAAACAATGTTTAAATCAAAAGCAAAATGATAGCTAGCTCACCATTCAACAGATGCATAATTAAAAAATATATACAAAATAAAACTACACACACATATACATCTATATGAGATGTTTATGGATACACACAATAGTAAAAATAAAAACATCTGAGGATGACACCCATCAACTATAGAGTTATGAAAAGGGAAAAGATGGCAGTGGGTGGGGCCTTAGTTAGCTCTGTAACATTTAACTTCTTTTTTGTTTTTAATGTTTTATTGTGAATTATATGATAGTTTACATGGGAGAACTTTAGTTTTACATTCATTCCATCGTATATCATCTCATTGCCATGCATCATCAACCCCTCCATGCATCATCAACCACCCAAAGGGTATATCCCAGAAACCCACCTCCTACACTTCCCCCTCTTCCCCCCAGTTTTCGGCCCACAGTCCCTTTCCCTCTCTGGGTCCAAAGTTCCCAGTCGCTTCATCACTCTACGTCATCATCACTGTCTCCATCTCAGGCATCTCTGTTTCTCTGGGCAGGGTCCCGGTCTCGGCTCTTCTCTGTTGATGGTCCCAGAGGCCTCCGCTCCTATCCTGGAGAATGAATCACTCCCTTCCTTGTTACAGAACTTCAACCTTTGCATTTCCAACCCTCATAGTCCATCCTGATAAACATTATTCACTACAGTATCACAAGTTACCCAAATGTATCTCCTTTCATCAGCTCCGCCCAGACAGATTGAATAGTACCTACTGGAGATTCTGCCTTCCGCCATGCTCCCTAGCACCAGGTTCCCTCTTGAAAGCTTGTAAGCTAGTCACTTCTTGGCTTTGTAGTCCCTCCCCCCACCCATTTGAGTATCCAATGTCCAAGCTGCCCTTCTCCATCCACTCTGTGTGTGGGGTGTGTGTGTGTGTGTGAATGTTTCTTGCTGTGAGGATTTGTTCCCTCTTTTGAGTCGCTGCTCCATCGGTATAGGTCAAGTTCATCAGACTGT